TTGGGGCAGCCTGGCCCTTCCGATGCCTTCCTGTGGGAGCCCTGATGAAGACCCCTTACCTGGAGATCTTGAAGGCTGTGATGGGAGGCCTTGATTTGCTGATTAAGGAAAAGGATAGACCTAGGTAATTGAGAAAAAAGGTAGTATGGAGGGGAAGAGTGAATGGAGGGAAGTGACTATAGAGTTCAGAATGTGGTCCAAGTTGAATCAGAGCTTTCTTAGACAAATGATAAAATGAGAAAGGACTGTGGTGCATGGAGCACAATACTAATAGATGTAGTCAACTTACAATGACTCTACCTTTGCCTCTTCTTCCTCTTTGTTTATAGAATGGACTCAAGGAAAGTGATGTGTGGGGTCAAGACAGATTACCTGTTGATAGTCTTGTCATTTGATTCTACTTCTCAAAAAGATGAAGCCCTGGTCTTCTCTGCTCTGAAGAACCTGACAATGGAACTCTTCCCAGTGCTATTCAAAGGCGCTTTCAATGGCCAACAAACAAATATCCTGACAGCGATTGTGGCAGCCTGGCCCTTCCGATGCCTTCCTGTGGGAGCCCTGATGAAGACCCCTTACCTGGAGATCTTGAAGGCTGTGCTGGGAGGCCTTGATTTGCTGATTAAGGAAAAGGATAGACCTAGGTAATTGAGAAAAAAGGTAGTATGGAGGGGAAGAGTGAATGGAGGGAAGTGACTATAGAGTTCAGAATGTGGTCCAAGCTGAATCAGAGCTTTCTTAGACAAATGATAAAGTGAGAAAGGACTGTGGTGTATGGAGCACTATACTAATAGATGTAGTCAACTTACAATGACTTTACCTTTGCCTCTTCTTCCTCTTTGTTTATAGAATGGACTCAAGGAAAGTGATGTGTGGGGTCAAGACAGATTACCTGTTGATAGTCTTGTCATTTGATTCTACTTCTCATTTGACAAACAGGAGTTGCAAACAAGAAGTCCTTGATCTTCGGGATGCCCAACATAACTTCTGGAATTGGTGGGCTGGATAAGAGGATGGTGTCTTTTCCCCAGATGTTAATGAGAAACAACCAGCGGTGGATCATCGCCTACAACAGGGAAAACATGTTCTTACTGTGATGATGAACCTTTCCCTCAAGTCCTGATATCTCTGCAAATACCTAAAATATTTCTGCTTGTGGGCCATTCAGAGAAAAGAAGTGCTGCAGGTGATCTGTGAAAAGCTGGAGTTTGGGACCATCCCTGCGTATAACCCTGTTAGGCTGCTGGAAGTATTTGAACCAAGATTTATACTGGAGTTGGTGGTGAATGGTCACTGGGACATGAGAACCCTTGCAATGTTTGCCCCTGGCCTGGGTCAGATGAGAAACCTTCAGAAACTCCATCTCAATGATATCTGCATGTCTTTGGAATCAATTAGGAACCGAGAAATGAATGTATGGTATATTAGAAAAATCATACTCCAGTTCTCCCATCTCGTGAAGCTCCAGCATCTCTATCTGAATGGTGTTTTCTTCCTGAATGAAAGATTAGAACAAGTACTCAGGTGAGTAAGGATAGAGAGCTTTCTCTGCAGGGCATAGAAGAGCTTTTCCAGCTTACATGAAAGATCAGTTTATGCCTGGGACATCCCAGCAACCCCAAGTATACACTGATAAGAACGTAGGATGATTGATCTAGTAGTCTTTCTGCTTCTCAGGCATCCAAGATCTAGAAAAGGTCTTGGTAGGGACCCACTTGAGGGGAAAAGAGATCTATAGAGGGGATGAGATTTTAAAATACATGTTACCCTATGTCATCACTGTCCTCTGAATCTATTCACAGTTTATCTCTCTCTCTGATTCCCCAAAGGAAAGGTGCTCTTTGAGTACTGGTAGGGTTTGTGTAAATGGAAAATGACTGAGAGTGATTAGGGACTCTGGCAAGCACTATAAGCAGGACAGAGGCTGCGCTAGGAAGGTGGGTCTCATTGAGACCAATGTTGTCACAAACAGAGATAGCTCTAAACTGCCTCCTTGGTTTCCTACTGACACCATTTTTCAGCTGATGAGGTTTTGGATTTGACAAGGCAGAGGGAACAGATTTGGGGACAGAAACATTCACAATAATGCATGTGATGTTAATTCTCCAATCAGGGAGCATCCTGTGCTTTACCTTCATGATGCTCTCAGAATGACCTTAGTGGTAACTAGGGTCTGCTACCTTGAAGTCATTGCACTTTCTCTATCACTATTATACATACTGAGCTAAACTCCTTTGTCTTTCTGTAGGTCCTTGGAGAGTCCATTAGAGACCCTCGCAATCACGTGCTGCATGCTATCAGAAGAAGACATGAGGTATCTGTCCCAGTATCCAGGCATTCATCAGCTCAGACATCTGGATCTGAGTGGTGTCAGCTTTGTAGATTCAATTCATCCCCTTCTAGGAAAGCTGCTAGAGAAACTGACAGCTACTCTGAAGATACTAAAATTGAAGGATTGTACACTCAAGGACTTCCAAATCAGTGTCCTCCTCCCTGCCCTGAGCCAGTGTTCCCAGCTGGTTGAGCTCAATTTTGCGAGGAACTTCCTGTCTCTGTCCAGCCTTAAGAAGCTGCTGCACCACACTGCCAACCTGAGACAGTTGACCCGAGAGACATACCCTGCTCCAGAAGAAGTCTATGATGGCATCGGTAATGTTCTACCAGACAGATTTGCCCAACATTGCTCTGAGCTCTTGGAAACACTCAGGGGTATAAGAGAGCCTAATGAGGTCTCCTTTGTGAGTAGGAGATGTCTACATTGCTGGAAATTTGTTTCTATGACCTGGAAGCCTCACTATGTTCCTGTTAGCAACAAATAATGAGAGATTACTGTTGGGCTCTGATAAATGAAAGCCAAGTGACTTATTAGAGATATAGAGCGTGTTTGTTTAAGGTGTTTTGGATTTATTTGGAAGCAGACTAGTGAGAATCTTGGACCTGCAGAATCCGGGGCTCCTTATCTGCTGAGGGCTAATAGTGATGGCCAAACTTTGGACAGAAAAAGTGATTGGAAAATGGTAGGGATTGCATCCCAGCACACAGTTTATGAGAGACCATAGACATACGGGAGGGAAAAAGAGGATAATCGAAAGAGCATAATGGACTTGATGAAGTGTGTTCCATATCTGTATTTGTTTGGCTTTGTCCTTGTCCATCTTAGTTAAAAATGTATAAATATTATGTACATATATTTCTTTTGTGAAAAATAATGTTGACTCGAGAAAGAACTGGTGTTAAGCATGCAGTTTTCTCACCAGTGAGGTGTGAACTGTCTTTCTCTGGAAATTACTTCCCCCACCATCCTTTGCATTACAGTTTCCAGTAAATTCAATAAAACTCTTTTGCATGAGAGAATGTGTTGTGTACTTTTAATTTGAGTCAGTTCATTGACAATCTCGTAGTTGTTCACTATGATTACTGTGTTTGCACACTCTTGTGTCTCCTTGTCTCTAAACCTTCTGCATCCTAGAACTTTTAGAGAAAATACTGACCCAACATGCCATGTTCTTGGCTATTTTCTATATCTCAGCTTCATGTAAGCCTAGCCAGAAAGCTAGAGAGTCTCTTGGAGAGATGGCTCAGATGTTTAGAGTGCTTACTGCTCCTTCTGGGGACTATGTTTGATTTCAGCAGGCAGAAACACTTGGAACTGTTCCAGTTTATCTGACATTTATTTCTGGTTCCTAGGAGCACTTGAGGTCATCTCCACCTCCACAGATAATGCACACATGCCCTATAACATACATAATTAAAAATAGGCAAATATGAAGTATTAAATAAAAATAAATCCACAGAATTAAATATGAAGCCCTTCTAGAGGTTGATAAACCTATTGGGTTTAGCACATCACTATGAAAAAGCAAATGGCAGGTGTGCTGATGATGCTCATGTGTGATCTCCATAATAGAAGATAAAGGTAGAAGATTATGTTTGTGGTAAAGGGAAACACTTAGCATGTATGAAGGCATACATTGATCCAAGCTCTTTGCCATATTATTTCCCTCAAGATACTAAAGCTTCATAGCCATGTTTTCAGGACTTGTTTTTCTTTCATTTATTGTCATGGAGTGTGTATGTCAGTCTGTACATAGGACTTTATGTGTGATTGTAACAATGTGGAGGTCAGAAGATGCCTCTCTCTCTCTCTCTCTTGCTTTCTCTCTCTCTCTGTCACCTACACACATTTCCCCACACATTTCAGGCTATTCCTGCAGTTACTATGTTTATGAGGATAAATTTGAACTTAACAGAAATTTGAACTTACAGAAATCCACATGCCACTGCGTTCCTTGTGTTAGAATTAAAGTTACTTGCCACTTGCCACCATGGTTGGCCTCACAGGATAATTTCAAGGTTCAGTTTCTTTTTTCACAGGAAATTCAGGGGATCACAGTAAGGTGTTTTGTGCTTGTCTAGCAAATTCTCTTCGTGTGAACCACCCAAAAGTTCCACAATCTGACTTTCTCTCTAAGCCAAAGGCTAGATGAAGCACTCTGCATGCTGTGTCCACATGTCAGTAATTCTCAGTCCAAGCTCATGGACTGGGTTATCAATGTGCTCCTGGATTCACCATATTTCTAACATTTATCACTTAAAGACGGCACATTTGATGCTATCTGTTCCATGGACCTGTGTAGGACTCCATGTGGATGAACATAATGGAGACTGAGAAAACTTATACCATCCACCCTGGGACTGGAATGCAGTGGCTGATTAGAGGGACCATGTATCGGGATGTCTGAGTACAGTTAGAGTTTGGAGAGCACCAACACTCTGGAGGCTGGGGTAGGAGGATCTAAAGTCCATCCTTAGCCTGGGCTACATGGTCAAACCTAGTAGCAAAATCAAAATAGAAGGAAACAAAACCAAGTTCCCAGAAAATTCACAAAAGCAAGAGGAGTTAGCATATTCTTCACAGGCCAATACCAACTCATTTTCTCATACAGTGGTAGCAGGTGGCGTGAACACTGGAATCTATGGTTGAAGATTCAGAATGTGCCTGAGTAGGGTGAGCACTTTCCTAATACACAGGGGGCAATGGATGGATCCACAGAAAGGCATGGACCAGGAGGTAGACATTTGAATGTAAACGGTCCCCATAAGTTCATAAGTATAGCACTACTGGGAGGTGTAGCCTTGCTGAAGGAAGTGTGTCACTGTGGGGTTTGGTTTTGGGTCTGCTTTCTTTTCACATCACTCAGTGTCATAATCCACTTATTTGCTGAAAGATGTAGGACTCCCATCTATTTCTCCAAAAGCATGTCTTCTTGAGTGGTACCAAGCCCAGCCATGATGATAATGGAATGAATCTATGAAACTGAAAGACAGCCACATCAATAAAGTTCTCCAGATGTCCTAGATAGTATGGGACTGATGCATCAGATGTGTCATCCAGAGGTGGAAGGAAGCAGAGATGGGGAGAAGGCAGAGCTCATTCATGTTCCACCCCATGAGCATTGACTTGAGTTGCTGATACTTAGCCACAGTACCAGAGTTTGGGAGGGAAAGACCTGACTAGGATACAAAAATAACGATGTTTCATGGATGATAATTACTTTATTTTCTCAAATGGATTCAGGCACAAAAGCCAGTGGCTACAAACAGCTGAGGCAGAGGCTTGTGTTACAGATGCAGGTTGTTCAGCCCAAGCTGGACTGGAGGAGATGAGGCAGATGTGGGGGAGGAAAAGATTCCCCCTGAAGGGAATATCCTCATGGCCACATTCTTACCTGAGTCATTCTATCATCCTGAAGAACCTTGGTATTGCATGAATGTGGGGTGCCAGGTTAGAGCTTGGCATGAAAATCCTGGTTTGTGTCCTTGTCTCTCTACAGGTGAATTACACAAAACAAAAGTCCCAATCCTCTGCTTTACTACTTATGAGATCCACTGGTATTTTATGAATTTAGCAGACTCACTGCATCTGGTGTAGACATTAGAGGGAACAGTTGTTTTCTAGAATTACTTTGACCTTGAAGAATTCTTGTGGAAAATGGTGATTGTTTGGCAAATGGCCATTGAAGCCATCCCATGACTTTGGTCACAAAAGTCCTCTGGCACATCTGGGGCACTTGTATTATTGTGTATTGCAAATGACACCTAATAAATGACTAGAAACATGGGGACATGTGATGGTCTTCTCAGTAATATATGTAATATAGAGCCAGACTTTCGTGGCCCACACATTTAGTCCCAGCACACAGAGGCAGAGGCATTTGGGTCTCTGTAGTCTACAAGAGCTAGTTCCAGGACAACTTCCAAAGCCACAGAGAAATCTTGTCTCATGGAAAAAAAATAATGTAAATTAGATTAGGGACCTTCAATGGAGAAAATAATTTGTGTAACAATAAAAGCAGAGAAACTTGAACTACCTTATAGAGATGAGTGTGTCCTTGAGCTCAGCACAATGTTGGGAAATTTCCTCTACTTGGATATATCAAAAGTGATCATAGATCTCTTGGAACAGGGCAGAGCTCCTTGGTCAGCTGACTTAGGTTGGCAGTATGGTGAAGAAGTTCTTTGAGCATGTCAGTGGAGAAGTCATTGTTGATGAGATTGATAGTTGTGATCTGGTTGAATTACCACAGGGCAGGGAGAAGAACCCTGATATCAGTATCTTTTATCCCACAATCATTTACTTTCAGCGACTTCAGAGTGCCTGGAACACTCTTTAAGCAAATTATGAGAGCCATGAAATACAAATAACTTAAGATGAGTCCTCTCAAGTACAGTTATTTAAGGCCAGAG